GAATGTTGCTGGCACAATAGCAACGTTAGGGTGGTTTACAAGGTGGCGGCTAACAAATGTGGTTTGAAATGGAAACACGGATATATTAGGAACCAGGGTTGTTGCGAATATTCGCATTACAAGCCGCGGAGCTTCCGCATTAATTTTAACATTCGCTTTCGCAATAATCAATGCGGATCTTTTGCGAATATGAATATTGAAGGAACCGAAAATAACAGTTTTTTTTACCAGGCAAATATTTTTTATTCCCAGTTAAAAGTCTTTTCAGGATAATAAACAAACCGCTTATCCAAATCAGACAAGTTTGGTACCAAGTGAAGGAAATGTCTAAACGAGCAAAGCAACCCGTTGAAAAATATTTCAATAAAATAATTAATTACCATAGAACAAACCTTAGGTCTGGTATATGAATTTCTTTAGTATTAAATGATAAAAAAATACAAATTATTTCTGCTTAAAAGTTATTTCAGTCACAGAAGCAAGGATTAAAAATGAATTACAAAAACTAAAATTGAAAAACGCTGTTGACGTTACAGGTTCTCCAAATTCAGAAACAACCAAAAGAATGAGAATGAAGAATTCTTTGGAAAACAACGGTGTTTAAACAACGATCTTGCCATGATACAAGATTGTGAAGATAGGAGTCAGGAGGATACATCCGAAATTTGCAGCCCTATGCAATTCTCAATGAAGAATTATTGCACCGCAATAAAAAAAAATAAATATAACTGAAAGACCTGTCAACTGGTACAGCGTCAATTGAAAAGTATTTACAATTTTGTCAAGTTTCAAGTGTTTAAAGTTTGTTGCCTCGGGCTAGTACTTATTTAGTGGCGCAGGTTTGATTTACGACCCTTTAAAAACTTTTTATACTAAAAAAAAACATTATTAAAAATTACTAACCTCTCCATTTCTAATTAACTAAATCACCTAATTTACTTACCTAAATTATTTGTTAACAAGTAAAAATGTCTAAGTTCGGGCGGAGGCGAACATTAAATACCCGGCGCAAGTATTCAATATAGTTTTTTCAGCTTTCCGAAAACTACCGCTTCATGGTAAGCAGCGGTGGTTTTACGTCTATTTCAAACATCTTCGATGAGATAAACTTATATAGATATATGTGGGCGGCACCGCGCCCATTTTCCAAAATTCCATATTAATGTTACTTCTTTTCAAGGGATTGTTGTTAGTATCAATTTTAAGTAAAATTAGCTTCCCTAAATTTCGAAATATCAAAGTTTGAAACAGTTCTGAAGTTTACCGTTATATAAAAGTGGGCGTAATTTTAGTCAGATTTCAAAACTTTCAACGTTTTGCCCTTATGTGGCAACCACAACAATCATACCGAGTTTGGTACACATTGATCGAGCGGTTACGAGATACACATATGTGGTTATAAGTGGGCGGGGTCACGCCCATTTTCCAACCTTTTATTATAAGCCTATTTGTTGCTAAAGAATTATTGCAAAAATCAATTTTGAATAAATTACCTTCAGTATTTACTGATTTATAGAAGCTATCGTATTTCTCTAAATTACCGTTATATGGGATGTGGGCGTGGTAATTATCCGATTCTTTTAATTCTAAGCCGTTTGGTATGTTTTGTGAAGGCCAACAACTGTGCCAAGTTTGGAACAAATTAGTGG